TGCCAGAAGGTGACGGTGAAGATGACGATTCGCAAGAATGACTGCTGGAGTGCCTTGCCAGTAGGTTACAGTGTGTGTAGGTTACAGTGTGTGTGTGTGTGTAGGTGTGTGTGTGTAGGTGTGTGTGTAGGTGTGTGTGTGTGTGTGTAGGTGTGTGTGTGTAGTTGTGTGTGTAGGTGTGAGCATTTCTGTGAGGTCCTGGGGGAGGGAAAATCCCTCAGCCAGGAAAACATCGTGGCACAAAGTGAAGATGACACTGCTGAGCCTGCGGTGCCTTAAATATTGGAAGAAGTCACCCCCTGTGAGTGGCTGGCTGAGGTGCCATCTGTTGAGGAAGTATTGAAGGCGATCCGGAGTCTGAGACCAGGAAAGGCAGCGGGCAGAGATGATCTCCCAAGCGAAATGCTGAGGGAGGGTGGCGTTTGTGCACAGACTGCCCTATATGACATCATAACAACAGTCTGGACCACTGGACGGGTTCCGCAGGATTGGAAGGATGCCCTGGTGGTCCCCCTTTTTAAGAAGGGGGTCCACACAGACTGTAACAACTACAGGGGCATCTTACTCCTCAGTGTGCCGGGAAAGGTCCTGGCAAGGATTATTCAACATCGCCTTGCCAGGCACGCTGAGGAGAGGCTTGCGGAGCCCCAATGCGGTTTCAGGAAAGGGCGGTCCTGCACAGATGCCATATTTTCTGTCCGTCTGCTACAGCAGAGGTGTAGGTAATTCCAACAAGACCTACATCTCTGCTTTATTGACCTGGTCAAGGCCTATGATACCATCAGTGGGCCTGGGCTCTGGGTCATTCTTCGTGCTTTTGGAGTCCCTGACCCTCTGCTCACGATCATTAAGGACCTTCATGATGGTGAGCGGGCCCGGGTAAAACTACGTGGCCGGGAGTCAGATCCATTCCTTGTTAACCTTGGGGTGCGACAGGGATGTCCTCTGGCTCCCACATTATTTAACATCTATTTTGACCACGTAGTTCGTGAAGCCTTCAATAGCTGTACCGGGGGAATCTCCATTTGGTACAGATATAATGGGAGGCTGATCGACGCCCGGGTGCGGTCAAGGGATGGCTCCCTATTGCTCAACCACGTTATGTATGCTGATGATTTGGTAATAGCTGCTCATTCAGAGGAGGAGTTGGAGACGCTGCTGCTGAGACTGGAGCGTGCCACTAAAAGGTGGGGCCTTACCATTAGCCCCACCAAAACTAAGCACCTGCCTGGGTATTTTGTACCATCGGACACTCCACCCCCACAACTCCCAATCGGTGATGGGGCAGTTGTGGAGAGAGTGGAGAGTTTTCCATACCTGGGCAGTGTGGTTATGACCGGCTCCAGTTTAACAGCAGAGGTCTCACTCAGCATCAGTCGAGCGGCAATATCTTTTCATCGATTGCGTAACGCTGTGTGGAAGCTACCTGGTCTGTCGCTGCGCACTAAGCTTCAGGTCTTCTCGGCCACGGTCATTCCCTCCCTTCTCTACACTTGCGAAACGTGGACCCCCCCCCCCAATGGAACGTCTTCGCCGGTATCTACAACTACAACATGAACGCTTACCCACCCACCTACCCACCTACCCACCCATCCACCCACCTACCCACCCACCTACCCACCAACCCACCTACCCACCCACCTACCTACCCACCCACCCACCTACCCACCCACCTACCCACCCACGTACCCACCTACCCACCCACCCACCCACCTACCTACCCACCTACCCACCCACGCACCTACCCACCTACCCACCTACCAACCCACCCACCCACCTACCCACCCGCACAACTACCCACCCGCCCACCTACCCACCCACCCATCTACCCACCTACCCACCTACCCACCTACCCACCCACCCACCCCACCCACCCACCTACCCACCCACCCACCTACCCACCCACCCACCCACCTACCCACCCACCCACCCACCTACCCACCCACTCTCCCACCCACCCACCCACCCACCTACCCACTCACCTACCCACCCACCCACCCACCTACCCACCCACCTACCCACCCATCCACCTACCCACCCACCTACCCACCCACTCTCCCACCCACCCCCAGGAGAGCGTGGTATCGTGCGATGGACGATGCCCCTCGGCAAGCATCTACAACTACAACGTCAACGCTTACCCACCCACCCACCCACCTACCCACCCACCCACCAACCCACCCACCCACCCACCTACCCACCCACCTACCCCCCCACCCACCTACCCACCCACTCTCCACCCACCTACCCACTCTCCCACCCACCCCAGGAGAGCGTGGTATCGTGCGATGGACGATGCCCTTCGGCGAGCATCTACAACTACAACGTCAACGCTTACCCACCCACCCACCCACCTACCCACTCACCTACCCACCCACCCACCCACCTACCCACCCACCTACCCACCCACCCACCTACCCACCCACCTACCCACCCATCCACCTACCCACCCACCTACCCACCCACTCTCCCACCCACCCCAGGAGAGCGTGGTATCGTGTGATGGACAATGCCCTTCGGCAAGCATCTACAACTACAACGTCAACGCTTACCCACCCACCTACCCACCCACCTACCCACTCACCTACCCACCCACCCACCTACCCACCCACCCACCCACCTACCCACCCACTCTCCCACCCACCCACCCCAGGAGAGCGTGGTATCGTGCGATGGACGATGCCCTTCGGCAAGCATCTACAACTACAACGTCAACGCTTACCCACCCACCTACCCACCCACCCACCCGCCCACCTACCCACCCACCCACCTACCCACCCACCCACCTACCCACCCACCTACCCACCAACCCACCTACCCACCCACCCACCCACCCACCCACCCGCCCACCTACCCACCCACCCATCTACCCACCCACCTACCCACCCACCTACCCACCTACCCACCCACCCACCCACCTACCCACCCACTCTCCCACCCACCCACCTACCCACCCACCTACCCACCTACCCACCCACCCACCTACCCACCCACTCTCCCACCCACCCCAGGAGAGCGTGGTATCGTGCGATGGACGATGCCCCTCGGCAAGCATCTACAACTACAACGTCAACGCTTACCCACCCACCTACCCACCCGCCCACCTACCCACCCACCCACCTACCCACCTACCCACCCACCCACCTACCCACCCACTCTCCCACCCACCTACCCACTCTCCCACCCACCCCAGGAGAGCGTGGTATCGTGCGATGGACGATGCCCTTCGGCGAGCATCTACAACTACAACGTCAACGCTTACCCACCCACCTACCCACCCGCCCACCTACCCACCCACCCACCTACCCACCTACCCACCCACCCACCTACCCACCCACTCTCCCACCCACCTACCCACTCTCCCACCCACCCCAGGAGAGCGTGGTATCGTGCGATGGACGATGCCCTTCGGCGAGCATCTACAACTACAACGTCAACGCTTACGCTCGCTTCTGCAAGTGCTGCCGCGAGACTGGCCTCAGGCGGCGCCCTGTGGCGCTCTACTGCTCGGGCAACGCCACCTGGGTCTCCTACTCGGTCAACGAGCCTACTGACTGCACGTGCCTCTGGTCGTGACCTTGAGTCGACCTTGACCTTGACCTTGACCCCCCACCCCCCGGGTCTCCTACTCGGTCAACGAGCCTGCCGACTGCACGTGCCTCTGGTCGTGACCTTGAGTCGACCTTGACCTTGACCCCGGGGTCTCCTACTCGGTCAACGAGCCCACCGACCACACGCGCCCCTGGTCCTGACCTTGAGTCGACCTTGACCTTGGCCTTCGCCCCCGGGTCTCCTACCCAGTCAAGGAACCCACCGACTCCATGTGCCTCTGGTCCTGACCTTGACCCTCAGTGACCCTGACCATAAACTCGGGAGGCTTGAGACTCGTGAGTCTAGATTCAGTCGCTATCACTGACTCGCAATCATGTTGTAGTTTATTCGCTAAACCTCGTCTGTCTTTTACACAGTTAGACGCCTTTTATATATATTTGATATTACGCAAAAACACACACACATCTATCTATGTCAATGTCGTGTGTGTGTGTGAACATTCATGTTTAAAATGTTTAAATGATTTACAAAATCTCGTGTTTACCGTCTTTGAGTGAACGTGCGTGAGAGGTGGGGGGGGGGGGGGGGGGCCATCGTGAACCCTACACAGTCATGGTGAACCCTACACGGCCATCGTGAACCCTACACAGTCATCGTGAACCCTACACGGCCATCGTGAACCCTACACAGTCATCGTGAACCCTACACGGCCATCGTGAACCCTACACGGACATCGTGAACCCTACACGGCCATCGTGAACCCTACACAGTCATCGTGAACCCTACACGGCCATCGTGAACCCTACACAGCCATCGTGAACCCTACACAGCCATCGTGAACCCTACACAGTCATCGTGAACCCTACACGGCCATCGTGAACCCTACACGGTCATCGTGAACCCTACACGGCCATCGTGAACCCTACACAGCCATCGTGAACCCTACACGGCCATCGTGAACCCTACACGGCCATCGTGAACCCTACACGGCCATCGTGAACCCTACACGGCCATCGTGAACCCTACACGGCCATCGTGAACCCTACACGGCCATCGTGAACCCTACACAGCCATCGTGAACCCTACACGGCCATCGTGAACCCTACACAGCCATCGTGAACCCCACACAGCCACCGTGAACCCTACACGGCCATCGTGAACCCTACACGGCCATCCTGAACCCTACACGGCCATCGTGAACCCTACACGGCCATCGTGAACCCTACACGGTCATCGTGAACCCTACACGGCCATCGTGAACCCTACACGGTCATCGTGAACCCTACATGGCCATCGTGAACCCTACACGGTCATCGTGAACCCTACACAGTCATCGTGAACCCTACACGGTCATCGTGAACCCTACACGGACATCGTGAACCCTACACGGTCATCGTGAACCCTACACGGTCATCGTGAACCCTACACAGTCATCGTGAACCCTACACAGCCATCGTGAACCTGACACGACCATCGTGAACCCTACACGGCCATCGTGAACCCTACACGGTCATCGTGAACCCTACACAGCCATCGTGAACCCTACACAGCCATCGTGAACCCTACACGGCCATCGTGAACCCTACACGGCCATCGTGAACCCATTGAGTGCCAGAGACACCCAGACCCAGCCATTGAACCCAGCGTTGCCCCCTCAACACTGATGCTCGTTATTTTCCGAGACACGACCATTGTGACCCCCACCTCCACCCAGCTCCCCCCTGAGTCCTGATTAGGTCGTCAATTATCACCCCCCACCACCACCTCCGTCCCAATTAAGATCCCCCCCACCCACTAATTAGGGCCTGGTTCCTCTTCTGAAGCCTGGACCATGGGCAGGCGAGGTCACAGGTTAAACTGCGGCCTGGGACTTGAAGAAAGGGATTTTCCTAGTTGTTTCTCTCTCTCTCTTCTTTGGTCGGATTTAAATTCTTCTGCTTCGTCTTGAGAGTGAGTGAGAGAGTGTGAGAGAGAGAGAGAGTGAGAGAGTGTGAGAGAGAGAGAGAGTGTGAGAGAGAGTGTGAGAGAGAGAGAGAGAGAGTGAGAGAGAGTGTGAGAGAGAGTGAGAGTGTGAGAGAGAGAGAGAGTGTGAGAGAGAGTGTGTGTGAGTGAGAGTGAGTGAGAGAGTGTGAGAGAGAGAGTGAGAGAGAGAGAGTGTGCCTGGTGATGTTATAGGAGGGAGAGAGAGTGAGTGTGAGAGAGAGAGTGAGAGTGTGAGAGAGAGTGTGTGAGAGAGAGTGTGAGAGAGTGAGAGAGAGTGTGAGTTAGAGAGAGAGTGTGAGTTAGAGAGAGAGTGTGAGTGGGAGAGAGAGAGAGAGTGTTAGAGAGAGAGTGTGAGTTAGAGAGAGAGTGTGAGTGAGAGAGAGAGAGTGTTAGAGAGAGTGTGAGTTAGAGAGAGAGTGAGAGAGAGTGTGAGTTAGAGAGAGAGCGTGAGTGAGAGAGAGTGAGAGAGTGTGAGTGAGAGAGTGAGAGAGAGAGAGTGTGAGTGAGAGAGAGAGTGTTAGAGAGAGTGAGAGAGAGAGAGTATGCCTGGTGATGTTATAGGAGGGAGAGAGCATCGTTTTCAACATCAATGCATTCGGAAGCCGCTAGAGCGATACACTTTTAATTTTAAATAATCTTTATTGGAAACTCTAGGACTGATTTTTGTGTTTAGTGTGTTGTCCTACTATACACCACTATACACTACTACAAACACTATACTACTATACACTACAACAATACACTACTATACACTACTACAAACACTATACTACTATACACTACAACAATACACTACTATACACTACTACAAACACTATACTACTATATACTACAACAATACACTACTATACACTACACTACTACAAACACTATACTACTATACACTACTACAATACACTATTATACACTACACTACTACAAACACTACACTACTATACACTACTACAATACACTACTATACACTACACTACTATACACTACACTACTATACACTACTACAATACACTACTATACACTATACTACTATACACTACACTACTATACAATACTACAATACACTACTATACACTACACTACTACAAACACTATACTACTATACACTACTACACTACTATACACTACACTACTATACACTACACTACTACAAACACTACACTACTATACACTACACTACTATACACTATACTACTACAAACACTACACTACTATACACTACTACAATACACTACACTACTATACACTACTATACACTACACTACTATACACTACACTACTATACACTACACTACTATACACTACACTATTATACACTACACTATTATACACTACACTACTATACACTACACTACTATACATTACACTTCTCTACACTACACTACTATTCACTACACTATACACTACACTATTATACACTACTATACACTACTCTACTATATACTACACTATACACTATACTACTATACACTACACTACTATACACTACTACAATACACTACACTACTATACACTACACTACTATACACTACTACTATACACTACTATACACTACACTACTATACACTACACTACTATACACTACTACAATACACTACAATACACTACACTACTATACACTACACTACTACAATACACTACTATACACTACACTACAATACACTACTACAATACACTACTATACACTACACTACTATACATTACTATACTATACACTACTATTCACTATACTACAATACACTACTACAATACACTACACTACTATACACTACACTACTATACTACTACAATAAACTACTATACACTACACTACTACAAACACTACACTACTATACACTACTACAATACACTACACTACTATACACTACACTACTATACTACTACAATACACTACTATACACTACACTACTACAAGCACTACACTACTATACACTACTACAATACACTACTATACACTACACTACTATACACTACTATACACTACACTACTATACACTACTACAATACACTACTATACACTACACTACTATACACTACACTACTATACACTACACTACTATACACTACACTATTATACACTACACTATTATACACTACACTACTATACACTACACTACTATACATTACACTTCTATACACTACACTACTATTCACTACACTATACACTACACTATTATACACTACTATACACTACTCTACTATATACTACACTATACACTATACTACTATACACTACACTACTATACACTACTACAATACACTACACTACTATACACTACACTACTATACACTACTACTATACACTACTATACACTACACTACTATACACTACACTACTATACACTACTACAATACACTACAATACACTACACTACTATACACTACACTACCACAATACACTACTATACACTACACTACAATACACTACTACAATACACTACTATACACTACACTACTATACATTACTATACTATACACTACTATTCACTATACTACAATACACTACTACAATACACTACACTACTATACACTACACTACTATACTACTACAATAAACTACTATACACTACACTACTACAAACACTACACTACTATACACTACTACAATACACTACACTACTATACACTACACTACTATACTACTACAATACACTACTATACACTACACTACTACAAGCACTACACTACTATACACTACTACAATACACTACTATACACTACTATACACTACACTACTATACACTACTACAATACACTACTATACACTACACTACTATACACTACTACAATACACTACTATACACTACTACAAACACTATACTACTATACACTACACTACTATACTATACACTACTATACACTACACTACAATACACTACTACAATACACTACTATACACTACACTACTATACACTACTACAATACACTATTATACACTACACTACTACAAACACTACACTACTATACACTACTACAATACACTATACTATACACTATACTACTATACACTACACTACTATACACTACACTACTATACACTACACTACTATACACTACTACAATACACTATTATACACTACACTACTACAAACACTACACTACTATACACTACTACAAACACTACACTACTATACACTACTACAATACACTATACTATACACTATACTACTATACACTACACTACTATACACTACACTACTATACACGACTATACACTACACTACTATACACTACTACAATACACTATTATACACTACACTACTACAAACACTACACTACTATACACTACTACAAACACTACACTACTATACACTACTACAATACACTACTATACACTATACTACTATACACTACACTACTATACACTACTACAATACACTACTATACACTACACTACTATACACTACACTACTATACACTACTACAATACACTACACTACTATACACTACTACAATACACTACTATACACTATACACTACACTACTATATACTACTACAATACACTACACTACTATACACTACACTACTACAAACACTACACTACTATACACTACTATACACTACTACAATACACTACTATACACTACACTACTATACACTACTACAATACACTACTATACACTACTACAATACACTACTATACACTACACTACTATACACTACTACAATACACTACTATACACTACACTACTATACACCTCTACAAACACTACACTACTATACACTATACTACTATACACTACACTACTATACTATATTGTTGTTGTGAAGTTTGTTGTTGTGAAGTTTGTTGTTGTTGTGAAGTTTGTTGTTGTGAAGTTTGTTGTTGTTGTGAAGTTTGTTGTAGTGAAGTTTGTTGTTGTTGTGAAGTTTGTTGTTGTTGTGAAGTTTGTTGTTGTGAAGTTTGTTGTTGTGAAGTTTGTTGTTGTTGTGAAGTTTGTTGTTGTTGTGAAGTTTGTTGTTGTTGTGAAGTTTGTTGTTGTGAAGTTTGTTGTTGTTGTGAAGTTTGTTGTTGTTGTGAAGTTTGTTGTAGTAGTGAAGTTTGTTGTTGTAATGAAGTTTGTTGTTGTAGTGAAGTTTATTGTTGTGAAGTTTGTTGTTGTTGTGAAGTTTGTTGTTGTTGTTGTGAAGTTTGTTGTTGTAGTGAAGTTTGTTGTAGTGAAGTTTGTTGTTTTTTGTTGTTGTGAAGTTTGTTGTTGTTGTGAAGTTTGTTGTTGTAGTGAAGTTTGTTGTTGTTGTGAAGTTTGTTGTTGTTGTGAAGTTTGTTGTTTTTTGTTGTTGTGAAGTTTGTTGTTGTTGTGAAGTTTGTTGTTGTAGTGAAGTTTGTTGTTGTTGTGAAGTTTGTTGTTGTTGTGAAGTTTGTTGTTGTTGTGAAGTTTGTTGTTGTAGTAGTGAAGTTTGTTGTTGTGAAGTTTGTTGTTGTTGTGAAGTTTGTTGTTGTAGTGAAGTTTGTTGTTGTAGTGAAGTTTGTTGTTGTAGTGAAGTTTGTTGTTGTTGTTGTGAAGTTTGTTGTTGTTGTTGTGAAGTTTGTTGTTGTAGTGAAGTTTGTTGTTGTTGTGAAGTTTGTTGTTGTTGTGAAGTTTGTTGTTGTTGTGAAGTTTGTTGTTGTTGTAGTGAAGTTTGTTGTAGTAGTGAAGTTTGTTGTTGTGAAGTTTGTTGTTGTTGTGAAGTTTGTTGTTGTAGTGAAGTTTGTTGTTGTAGTGAAGTTTGTTGTTGTAGTGAAGTTTGTTGTTGTTGTTGTGAAGTTTGTTGTTGTTGTTGTGAAGTTTGTTGTTGTTGTGAAGTTTGTTGTTGTTGTTGTGAAGTTTGTTGTTGTTGTTGTGAAGTTTGTTGTTGTTGTTGTGAAGTTTGTTGTTGTTGTGAAGTTTGTTGTTGTGAAGTTTGTTGTTGTTGTTGTGAAGTTTGTTGTTGTTGTGAAGTTTGTTGTTGTTGTGAAGTTTGTTGTTGTTGTGAAGTTTGTTGTTGTTGTGAAGTTTGTTGTTGTTGTTGTGAAGTTTGTTGTTGTGAAGTTTGTTGTTGTTGTGAAGTTTGTTGTTGTTGTGAAGTTTGTTGTTGTGAAGTTTGTTGTTGTTGTGAAGTTTGTTGTTGTTGTGAAGTTTGTTGTTGTTGTTGTGAAGTTTGTTGTTGTTGTTGTGAAGTTTGTTGTTGTGAAGTTTGTTGTTGTTGTGAAGTTTGTTGTTGTAGTGAAGTTTGTTGTTGTTGTGAAGTTTGTTGTTGTGAAGTTTGTTGTTGTTGTAGTGAAGTTTGTTGTTGTTGTTGTGAAGTTTGTTGTTGTTGTGAAGTTTGTTGTTGTTGTGAAGTTTGTTGTTGTGAAGTTTGTTGTTGTAGTGAAGTTTGTTGTTGTAGTGAAGTTTGTTGTTGTTGTGAGGTTTGTTGTTGTAGTGAAGTTTGTTGTTGTTGTTGTTGTGAAGTTTGTTGTTGTGAAGTTTGTTGTTGTTGTGAAGTTTGTTGTTGTTGTGAAGTTTGTTGTTGTTGTGAAGTTTGTTGTTGTTGTGAAGTTTGTTGTTGTTGTTGTGAAGTTTGTTGTTGTTGTTGTGAGGTTTGTTGTTGTGAAGTTTGTTGTTGTTGTGAAGTTTGTTGTTGTAGTGAAGTTTGTTGTGAGGTTTGTTGTTGTGAAGTTTGTTGTTGTAGTGAAGTTTGTTGTTGTGAAGTTTGTTGTTGTTGTTGTGAAGTTTGTTGTGAAGTTTGTTGTTGTTGTGAAGTTTGTTGTGAGGTTTGTTGTTGTTGTGAAGTTTGTTGTTGTGAAGTTTGTTGTTGTTGTTGTGAAGTTTGTTGTTGTTGTGAAGTTTGTTGTTGTTGTGAAGTTTGTTGTTGTTGTGAAGTTTGTTGTTGTTGTGAAGTTTGTTGTAGTGAAGTTTGTTGTTGTTGTTGTGAAGTTTGTTGTTGTTGTTGTGAAGTTTGTTGTCCTTCCCACGCTGCACCTTCGGTTCGCGTGTTTGGCTACGTATGATGCTGCGGACGAAGTTCAACATAGATCCTTAGACCTGCTAGAATATCACAATAGTTTAGTTATTGTATGGATCTCGATAAGTGTTGGTCTCTGTGGGTCTCTGGTTCTTTGTGAGTCTCTATAGGTCTTTGTGGGTCTCTATGGGTCTTTGTGAGTCTCTATGGGTCTCTATAGGTCTCTATGGGTCTTTGTGGGTCTCTGTGGGTCTCTATGGGTCTCTATGCGTCTGTGTGGGTCTGTATTGATCTCTGGGTCTCTATGGGTATTAATGGGTCTCTATAGGTCTATATGGGTCTCTATGGGTCTCTGTGGGTCTCTGTGGGTCTCTATGGGGCTTGGTGGGTCTCTATAGGTCTCTATAGGTCTCTATGGGTCTTTGTGGGTCTTTGTGGGTCTCTGTGGGTCTCTATGGGTCGTTGTGGGTCTGTACTGATTTATGGGTCTCTATGGGTCTTTGTGGGTCTCTATGGGTCTTTGTGAGTCTCTATGGGTCTCTATAGGTCTCTATGGGTCTTTGTGGGTCTCTGTGGGTCTCTGTGGGTCTCTATGGGTCTCTATGCGTCTGTGTGGGTCTGTATTGATCTCTGGGTCTCTATGGGTATTAATGGGTCTCTATAGGTCTATATGGGTCTCTATGGGTCTTTGTGGGTCTTTGTGGGTCTCTATGGGGCTTGGTGGGTCTCTGTAGGTCTCTATGGGTCTTTGTGGGTCTTTGTGGGTCTCTGTGGGTCTCTATGGGTCTCTATGAGTCTCTGTGGGTCTCTATGGGTCTTTGTGGGTCTGTACTGATTTCTGGGTCTCTATGGGTCTTTGTGGGGCTCTGTGGGTCTCTGTGGGTCTATATGGGTCTCTATGGTTCTTTGTGGGTCTCTGTGGGTCTCTATTATTCTTTGTGGGTCTCTGTGGGTCTCTATGGGTCTCTGTGGGTCTCTATAGGTCTTTATGGGTCTGTATTGATCTGTGGACCTCTATGGGACTTTGTGGGTCTCTGTGGGTCTCTATGGGTCTCTATGGGTCTATATGGGTCTCTATGGGTCTTTGTGAGTCTCTATGGGTCTCTGTGGGTCTCTATGGGTCTCTATGGGTCTATATGGGTCTCTATGGTTCTTTGTGGGTTTCTATGGGTCTCTATAGGTCTTCGTGGGTCTCTATAGGTCTCTATGGGTCTTTGTAAGTCTCTATAGGTCTCTATAGGTCTTTGTGGGTCTCTATAGGTCTCTATGGGTCTTTGTGGGTCTCTGTCGGTCTCTATGGGTCTTTGTGGGTCTGTATTGATCTCTGGGTCTCTATGGTTCTTTGTGGGTCTCTATGGGTCTCTTTGGGTCTTTGTGGGTCTCTGTGGGTCTCTATGGTTCTTTGTGGGTCTCTATAGGTCTCTATGTTTCTTTGTGGGTCTGTATTGATCTGGTTGCCTCTATAGGTCTTTGTGGGGCTGTGGGTCTCTATGGGTCTTTGTGGGTCTGTATTGATCTGGTTGCCTCTATAGGTCTTTGTGGGTCTGTGGGTCTCTTTTGGTCTTTGTGGGTCTCTATGGGTCTCTATGGGTCTTTGTGGGTCTTTGTGGGTCTCTATGGGTCTTTGTGGGTCTCTATAGGTCTCTATGGGTCTCTATAGGTCTCTATGGGTCTCTGTAGTTCTCTATGGGTCTCTACAGACCCCCTATGGGTTCCCGTGGACCCCCTGTGTGTACTTCATTGGTCTCCGCACGGTTGTGACGAGTCCGCCAGTCTCCAACGTGGGGGTGGTGGTGAGCTCTCCATCCAGCAGTGGAGTGCCCAGGGGCATCACCTCGGCCACACAGCTGTTACCTCCGCCAGAACCGCCCTGACGTTTCGGATCCTTAAACCTCATGGCGGGCCCTCCGTTAACTCCGCTCCGAAACCCACTCAGACGCCTCCCTGGGCAAAACCACCACGACCACCATCACCACCATCACCTCCACCACCATCACCACCATCACCACCACCACCATCACCACCATCACCTCCACCACCATCACCATCACCACCATCACCACCACCACCATCACCTCCACCACCACCATCACCACCATCACCACCACCACCACCATCACCACCACCGCCACCACCGCCACCATCACCTCCACCACCACCATCACCACCATCACCACCACCACCACCATCACCACCACCACCACCACCATCACCACCACCACCACCATCACCTCCACCACCACCACCACCATCATCACCACCATCACCTCCACCACCACCATCATCACCATCACCACCACCTCCACCACCATCATCACCACCACCGCCACCACCACCATCACCACCACCATCACCACCACCATCACCACCACCACCATCATCAACACCATCACCACCACCATCATCACCACCACTACCCCCACCACTACCACCACCTCCACCATCACCACCATCACCCCCACCACCACCATCACCACCACCACCAACCCCACCACCATCACCGTCACCACCATTGCCACCACCACCGCCACCACCACCTCCACCACCACTATTGCCACCACCACCACCACCGCCACCACCACCACCACCACCTCCACCATCACCGCCACCACCACCACCACGACCACCTCCACCATCACCACCATCATCCCCACCACCACCATCAACACCATCACCACCACCACCATCACCACCACCACCACCCCCACCATCACCACCACCACCATCATCACCACCACCACCATCACCACCACCACCACCACTGGCGGCAGCTTCTCCCCCCCCATCAAACGCGAGCCTTTGAAGCAGAGGTGAAACGAGTTGAGCGTGCGAGTGCGTTTGTGTGTCAGCGGTGTCTCTGAGGACTCCGTTAATCGGCTGGGGCCGGCAGGGCGGGGTGGGAGTTTTGGGTTGGTTGGCTAGGCGAGACAAAGGCTTATTTCCGAATTAGGCCCCCATGGGGAGGCGAGGCTGGAGAGGGGCCGGCGGCCATTTTTGTACCTTGGGGATAGGAGGAGAGATTAAGATCAAAGGGTGCAACCACATAGCGGAGTGAGGGGCATGGGTGAAGGTTGGAACTACCCTGGAATTAGTGACCTATAGCCAGAGACTCAGCACGCAGAGACCCACAGACTCACCACACAGAGACCCACAGACTCATCACGCAGAGACCCACAGACTCACCACACAGAGACCCACAGACTCACCACACAGAGACCCACAGACTCAGCACGCAGAGACCCACAGACTCACCACCACACAGAGACCCACAGACTCATCACACAGAGACCCACAGACTCATCACGCAGAGACCCACAGACTCACCACCACACAGAGACCCACAGACTCAGCACACAGAGACACCCATAGACTCACCACACAGAGACCCACAGACTCACCACACAGAGACCCACAGACTCAGCACGCAGAGACCCACAGACTCAGCACGCAGAGACCCACAGACTCAGCACACAGAGACTCACAGACTCATCACACAGAGACCCACAGACTCAGCACGCAGAGACCCACAGACTCAGCACGCAGAGACCCACAGACTCACCACCACACAGAGACCCACAGACTCAGCACGCAGAGACCCACAGACTCACCACACAGAGATCCACAGACTTGTCACACAGAGACCCACAGACTCACCACACAGAGACCCACAGACTCATCACGCAGAGACCCACAGACTCACCACCACACAGAGACCCACAGACTCAGCACACAGAGACACCCATAGACTCACCACACAGAGACCCACAGACTCACCACACAGAGACCCACAGACTCACCACGCAGAGACCCACAGACTCAGCACGCAGAGACCCACAGACTCAGCACACAGAGACCCACAGACTCATCACACAGAGACCCACAGACTCAGCACGTAGAGACTCACAGACTCATCACGCAGAGACCCACAGACTCAGCACACAGAGACCCACAGACTCACCACACAGAGACCCACAGACTCAGCACGCAGAGACCCACAGACTCAGCACGCAGAGACCCACAGACTCACCACCACACAGAGACCCACAGACTCAGCACGCAGAGACCCACAGACTCATCACACAGAGATCCACAGACTTGTCACACAGAGACCCACAGACTCACCACACAGAGACCCACAGACTCAGCACGCAGAGACCCACAGACTCACCACACAGAGACCCACAGACTCATCACACAGAGATCCACAGACTCATCACACAGAGACCCACAGACTCAGCACACAGAGACCCATAGACTCACCACACAGAGATCCACAGACTCACCACACAGAGACCCACAGACTCACCACACAGAGACCCACAGACTTACCACACAGAGACCCACAGCTGGGCATGCGGGCTACATGACCCAGCCAACGCAGCCTTGCCTGCCAGAGAAGCTCACTGATGGGACCGTGCCCAGATCTTTCAAGGATTTGTGAGCTCCTCAGACAATCCAGCCTGGTTAAACCCAGGATGGATCGTAGCCAGACCAGCCAAAATGTTTCCAACCGGCGAAGATGCTCCATTAGGGGGTCCACGTTTCGCAAGCGTAGAGAAGGGAGGGATTGACCGTGGCCGAGAAGACCTGAAGCTTAGTGCGGAGCGACAGACCAGGTAGCTTCCACACAGTGTTACGCAACCGATGAAAAGATATTGCCGCTCGACTGATACGGAGTGACACCTCTGCTGTCAAACCGGAGCTGGTCAACAAATACATTCCCTCTCACACCCCAAGGTGTACAGGGAATGGCTCTGACTCCCGGCCACGTAGCTCTACCCGGTCCCGCTCACCATCATGAAGGTCCTTAGTTATCATGAGCAGAGGGTCAGGGAATCCGAAAACACGAAGAATAACCCAGAGCCCAGGCCTACTGATGGTATCATAGGCCTTGACCAGGTCAATAAAGCAGAGATGTAGGTCTTGCTGTAATTTCCTGCACCTCTGCTATAGCAGACGGACAGAAAATATGGCATCTGTGCAGGACCGCCCTTTCCTGAAACCGCATTGGGGCTCCGCAAGCCTCTCCTCAGCGTGCCTGGCAAGGCGATGTTGAATAATCCTTGCCAGAACCTTTCCCGGCACACTGAGGAGTGAGATGCCCCTGTAGTTGTTACAGTCTGTGCGGTCCCCCTTCTTAAAGAGGGGGACCACCAGGGCATCCTTCCAATCCTGTGGAACCCGTCCAGTTGTCCAGACTGTTGTTATGATGTCATATAGGGCAGTCTGTGCACAAACGCCACCCTCCCTCAGCATTTCGCTTGGGAGATCATCTCTGCCCGCTGCCTTTCCTGGTCTCAGACTCCGGATCGCCTTCAGTACTTCCTCAACAGATGGCACCTCAGCCAGCCACTCACAGGGGGTGACTTCTTCCAATATTTGAGGCACAGCAGCTACATAAACCAATACCAATACTCGCCACTCGATACTACGTGACGGTGACGTCACCACGACGCTTGTGCCAGGTTAGGTGCACCTTGAGGCCACGTGAACGCCCGCTCGCTCGAGGTCACGGGGCAGACCCAGGTGCCACGGGTCGACTGACTGAGATGACTGGTTGGTGCCTCCTACTGTGCCAACCTGCTGTGCTTTATCCACCCGGCGCTCCGCTCGTTGTTGTGAGCATCGCTCCTCCACCCTCCGTTGTTGTTGGAGGGCGACTGCCTCCAACTGCCCAGTAGCAGCGTCCTTCACGAGCCTCCTCCACAGAGGCCGATCTTGACACCGCTGGTACCAGTCATCGGCAAGTCCACTCAGCTCCACGCCCTCCTGTCTCCTCCCGCCATACACACACTCACACACTCACACACACTCACACACACTCACTCACACTCACTCACACACTCACACACTTAAACACTTAAACACACACTCACTCACACACTCACACACTCAAACACTTAAACACACTTAAACACACACTCAAACACACACTCACACACACTCAAACACACACTCAAACACACACTCAAACACACACTCAAACACACACTCACACACTCACTCACACACTCACTCACACACTCACTCACACACACTCACACACACTCACACACACTCACACACCGACTTACAACACATAGACACATACTTACACACATACAAAGATCCCCCATATAGCCTTAACAGACTGTAGGGGCAAGTGCTGTTAGCGAGCACCTTTGAAGGCCGGAACGGTACACGAGGGGGTGGGTGGCCAGCACCACGCCCGACCGCCTTTGTCTCCCCAGTGGCAATGTTTACACACCGCACCAGGTACTCATTTTAGGCTGAGTCGACGTAGGGGAGGCCCGGGACCGGTTCAGATAATCGTCACTGGTGTTGGCCGTGAGCGGGAATCGAACCCGGGTCGCCAGGTTCACAGCGCAGCGTAGCGCTAACCACTACACTACCGCTCCCCACACTCACACACATATACCGACTTAAACACTCACATACACACTCACACACTTAAACACACACTCACACACCGACTTACACACATACTCACACACTCACACACTTAAACAAACACACACACACCGACTTACACACTTACTGACACACTCACACACTTAAACACACACTCAAACACACACTCACACACACACACACATATCGACTTACACACATATTCACACACTTAAACACACACTCACAGACACTTAAACACACACTCACACACCGACTTACACACATACTCACACACTCACACACTTAAACAAACACACACACACCGACTTACACACTTACTGACACACTCACACACTTAAACACACACTCACACACACACTCACACACACACATACCGACTTACACACATATTCACACACTTAAACACACACTCACAGACACTTAAACACACACTCACACACCGACTTACACACACACTCACACACTTAAACACACACACCCACCGACTTACACACATACCCATTCAAACTGACACCCAAGATCGTACCCACACTCATTCTTTGTTATTGTTACACGACAGCTGTTCAAAACGTAACACTGAACCTCTCTCTCCTCTCGTCTCCCTTGGGAGAGGAGAGGAGAGAGAGGGGGGAGAGAGGGGAGAGAGAGAGAGAGTGGGGAGAGAGTGGGGAGAGAGAGACAGAGGTACAGAGAGACAGAGAGATAGAGACAGAGAGATAGAGAGTGAGAGAGACAGAGAGACAGAGACAGAGAGACCGAGACAGAGAGATAGAGACAGAGAGACAGAGAGAGACAGAGAGGCAGAGATAGAGACAGAGAGAGAGAGACAGAGACACAGAGAGACAGAGAGACAGCGTGAGAGAGAGACAGTGACAGAGAGACAGAGACAGAGAGACAGAGAGTTCGAGAGACAGAGACAGAGAAATAGAGAGACAGAGACAGAGAGACAGAGAGATAGAGACAGAGAGACAGAGAGTGAGAGAGATACAGAGAGAGACAGAGAGACAAATAGAGAGAGACAGAGAGACAGAGACACACAGAGAGACAGAGAGATACAGAGACAGAGAGACAGAGATAGAGACAGAGAGACAGAGACAGAGAGACAGAGAGACAGAGACAGAGAGACAGAGAGACAGAGACAGTGAGAGACAGAGAGACAGAGACAGAGAGACAGAGAGACAGTGAGAGACAGAGACAGAGAGACAGTGAGAGACAGGGAGACAGAGGCAGAGAGACAGAGAGTGAGAGAGATACAGAGAGAGACAGAGAGACAGAGAAAGAGAGACAGAGAGAGACAGAGAGAGAGGGGAGAGAGACAGAGAGAGAGAGACAGAGAGACAGTGAGAGACAGAGAGACAGAGATAGAGAGACAGAGATAGAGGCAGAGAGTCACAGAGACCCACAGACTCACCACACAGAGACCCACAGACTCACCACACAGAGACCCACAGACTCACCACACAGAGACCCACAGACTCACCACACAGAGACCCACAGACTCACCACACAGAGACCCACAGACTCACCACACAGAGACCCACAGACTCATCACACAGAGACCCACAGACTCACCACACAGAGACCCACAGACTCACCACACAGAGACCCACAGACTCACCACACAGAGACCCACAGACTCACCACACAGAGACCCACATACTCACCACACAGAGACCCACAGACTCACCACACAGAGACCCACAGACTCACCACACAGAGACCCACAGACTCACCACACAGAGACCCACAGATTCACCACACAGAGACCCACAGACTTGTCACATAGAGACCCTATAGACCGAAGGGGAATGTGATACTTTGTAATCATTGCCTGGTAATTTAAGAATCATTTTTTTGGATTGTGTGGCCAGCAAAGAGGGTTGTTTAAACATTCCTCAGATATAAAATATACAATTATTCATTATTAATAATCTATAAATTAATTATTTATGTGTGTTTGTGAGTGCAGTATTTAGACACTGGTGGTCGTGATGACAATGAGAGACAGAGAGAGAGACACGTGGATTAGAGATCACAGGCCAGAACAGGGACACCACCATCACCACCATCACCATCACCACCATCACCACCATCATCACCACCATCACCACCACCACCATCACCACCATCACCACCACCATCACCACCATCACCACCATCACCACCATCACCACCACCATCGCCACCACCACCACCACCAATACCACCATCACCACCATCACCACCACCATCACCACCATCACCACCACCACCACAACCATCACCACCATCACCACCACCATCACCACCATCACCACCACCATCACCACCATCACCACCACCATCACCATCACCACCACCATAACCACCATCACCACCATCACCACCACCACTATCACCACCATCACCATCACCACCATCACCACCATCACCACCACCACCACAACCAAGATCACCACCACGATCATCAAAACTATCACCACCATCACCACCACCATCACCACCATCACCACCAACACCACCACCACCACCATCACCACCACCATCACTACCACCACCACCATCACCACCACCATCACCACCATCACCACCATCACCACCACCATCACCACCATCACCACCACCATCACCACCACCATCACCACCACCACCACCACCATCAATAAGACCACCACCATCACCAACACCATCAGCACCATCAACACCACCATCACCACCACCATCACCACCATCACCACCACCACCATCACCACCACCATCACCACCACCATCACCACCATCACCACTACCATCACTACCACCATCACCACCATCACCACCACCACCATCACCACCACCATCACCATCACCACCATCACCACCACCATCACCACCATCACCACTACCATCACTACCACCATCACCACCATCACCACCACCATCACCACCATCACCACCATCACCACCACTATAACCACCATCACCACCACCATCACCACCACCATCACCACCACCATCACCACCACCACCATCACCACAATCACCATCATCACCACCATCACCACCACCATCACCACCATCACCACCATTACCGTCACCACCATTACCATCACCACCATCACCACCATCACCACCACCATCACCACCATCACCACCACCATCACCACCATCACCACCATCACCGTCACCACCATCACCATCACCACCATCACCAACATCACCACCACCATCACCACCATCACCATCACCACCACCACCAGCATCACCATCACCACCACCACCATCACCACCATCACCATCACCACCATCACCACCATCACCACCACCAACACCACCATCACCATCATCACCATCACCGCCACCACCATCACCATCATCACCACCATCACCACCATCACCACCACCATCACCACCATCACCACCATTACCGTCACCACCATTACCATCACCACCATCACCACCATCACCACCACCATCACCACCATCACCACCACCATCACCACCATCACCACCATCACCGTCACCACCATCACCATCACCACCATCACCAACATCACCACCACCATCACCACCATCACCATCACCACCACCACCAGCATCACCATCACCACCACCACCATCACCACCATCACCATCACCACCATCACCACCATCACCACCACCAACACCACCATCACCATCATCACCAACATCACCAACACCATCACCACCATCACCACCATCACCACCATCACCACCACCATCACCATCACTACCATCACCACCACCATTACCAACACCACCATCACCATCACCACCATCACCACCATCACCATTACCACCACCATCACCATCACCAACATCACCACCACCATCACCACCACAACCATCACCACCATCACCACCACCATCACCACCACCATCACCACTATCACCACCATCACCACCATCACCATCACCACCACCATCACAACCATCACCATCACCACCATCACCACCACCATCACCACCATCACTACCACCATCACCACCATCACCATCACCACCACCACGATCACCACCACCATAACCACCATCACCACGATCACCACCACCATCACCACCACCATCACCACCACCATCAACACCATCACCACCATCACCACCACCATCACCACCATCACCATCACCACCACCACCATCAATAAGACCACCACCATCACCACCATCGCCACCACCATCACCACCATCAACACCACCATCACCACCACCATCACCACCATCACCACCACCACCATCACCACCACCATCATCACCACCATCACCACCATCACCACTACCATCACTACCACCATCACCACCATCACCACCACCACCATCACCACCATCACCACCACCACCATCACCACCATCACCACCACCATCACCACCATCACCACCATCACCATCACCACCATCACCACCACAATCACCACCATCACCACCACCATCACCACCACCATCACCACCATCACCACCATCACCGTCACCACCATCACCACCATCACCACCAACACCACCACCATCACCACCACCATCACCACCATCACCACCATCACCGTCACCACCATCACCATCACCACCATCACCACCATCACCACCACCATCACCACCATCACCACCACCAGCATCACCATCACCACCACCACCATCACCACCATCACCATCACCACCATCACCACCATCACCACCACCAACACCACCATCACCATCATCACCATCACCACCATCACCAACACCATCACCACCATCACCATCATCACCACCATCACCATCACCACCATCACCACCATCACCATCACCACCACCATCACCATCACCAACATCACCACCACCATCACCACCACAACCATCACCACCATCACCACCACCATCACCACCACCATCACCACTATCAACACCATCACCACCATCACCATCACCACCACCATCACCACCATCACCATCACCACCACCATCACCACCACCATAACCACCATCACCACCATCACCACCACCACTATCACCACCATCACCACCACCATCACTATCATCATCACCACCACCATCACCACCACCATCACCACCATCACCACCATCACCATCATCACCATCATCACCACCACCACCATCACCACCATCACCACCATCACCAACACCACCACAATCACCACCATCACCACCATCACCACCATCACCAACACCACCATCACCACCATCACCACCATCACCAACACCACCACAATCACCACCATCACTACCATCACCGCCACCACCACCATCATCACCACTATCACCACCATAAACACCACCATCACCACCATCACCACCACCACCATCACCACCATCACCACCATCACCACCACAATCACCAACATCACCACCACCATCACCACCACCACCATCACTACCATCATCACCACCATCACCACCACCATCACCACCATCACCACCACCAGCACCATCAACACCATCACCACAATCATCACCACCATCACCACCACCTTCACCACCATCACCACCATCATCACCACCACCACCACAACCAACACCACCAACACCACCACCATCACCACCATCACCACCACCATCACCACCACCATCACCACCATCACCACCACCATCACCACCATCATCACCACCATCACCACCACCATCACCACCATCACCACCACCATTATCACCATCACCACCACCATCACCACCATCACCACCAGCATCACCACCATCACTACCACCACCACCATCACCATCGCTATCACCACCGTAACCACCATCACCACCATCACCACCATCACCACCACTATCACCACCGTCACCACCATCACCACCACCATCAACACAGCGATCACCACCATCACCATCACCACCATCATCACCATCACCACCACCATCACCACCATCACCACCATCACCATCATCATCGCCATCATCATCATCATCAACATCATCCTCATCATTGGCATCATCAGCAGCATCATCATTATCATCATCAGCATCATCAGCAGCAGCATCAGCGGCATCATCATCAGCAGTATTATCAGCATCATCATCAGCAGCATCATCAGCAGCATCATCAGCATCATCATCAGCACCATCCTCATTATCATCAGCATCATTATCATCTTCAGCATCATCATCATCAGCAGCATCATCTTCATTATCATCATCATCAGCATCATTATCATAATCAGCATCATCAGCATTATCATGAGCAGCAGCAGCAGCATGGATATCAGCAGCAGCATCATCAGCAAAAGCACCATTCATAGCAGCAGCATCATCAGCATTATCATCATCAGCTCTCCCTCCCATCTCCCCCCATCTCCCTCCCATCTCTCCCCCATCTCCCACCCATCTCCCCCCCATCTCCCTCCCATCTCTCTCCCATCTCCCCCCCATCTCCCCCCATCTCTCTCCCATCTCCCCCCCCATCTCCCTCCCATCTCCCTCCCATCTCCTCCCCATCTCCCTCCCATCTCCCCCATCTCCCTCCCATTACCCACCCTCTCTCCCTCCCATCTCTCTCTCATCTCCCCCCATCTCCCCCCCATCTCCCTCCCATCTCCCTCCCATCTCCCCCCATCTCCCTCCCATCTCCCTCCCATCTCCCCCCATCTCCCTCCCATCTCCCCCATCTCCCTCCCATCACCCACCCTCTCTCCCACCCATCTCCCCCCCATCTCCCTCCCATCTCCCCCCATCTCCCTCCCATCTCCCTCCCATCTCTCTCCAATCTCCCTCCCATCTCCCCCCCATCTCCCTCCCATCTCCCTCCCATCTCCCCCCCATCTCCCCCCATCTCCCCCCCCATCTCCCTCCCATCTCCCCCCATCTACCCCCATCTCCCCCCCATCTCCCTCCCATCTCCCCCCCATCTCCCCCCCATCTCCCCCCCATCTCCCTCCCATCTCCCTCCCATCTCCCCCCCATCTCGCCCCCATCTCCCTCCCATCTCCCTCCCATCTCCCCCCCATCTCCCCCCCATCCCCCCATCCCCCCCATCTCCCTCCTATCTCCCTCCCATCTCCCCCCCATCTCCCCCCCATCTCCCTCCCATCTCCCCCCATCTCCCTCCCATCTCCCTCCCATTTCCCCCCCATCTCCCTCCCATCTCCCCCCATCTCCCTCCCATCTCCCCCCCATCTCCCTCCCATCTTCCCCCCATCTCCCTCCCATCTCTCTCCCATCTCCCCCCCATCTCCCCCCCATCTCTCTCCCATCTCCCCCCCCATCTCCCTCCCATCTCCCTCCCATCTCCTCCCCATCTCCCTCCCATCTCCCCCATCTCCCTCCCATCACCCACCCTCTCTCCCTCCCATCTCTCTCTCATCTCCCCCCATCTCCCCCCATCTCCCTCCCATCTCCCTAACCATCTCCCCCCATCTCCCTCCCATCTCCCTCCCATCTCCCCCCCATCTCCCTCCATCTCCCCCATCTCCCTCCCATCACCCACCCTCTCTCCCCCCCATCTCCCCCCCATCTCCCTCCCATCTCCCCCCATCTCCCTCCCATCTCCCTCCCATCTCCCCCCATCTCCCCCCATCTCCCCTCATCTCCCCCCCATCTCCCTCCCATCTCCCCCCCATCTCCCCCCATCTCCCCCCCATCTCCCTCCCATCTCCCCCCATCTCCCCCCCATCTCCCCCCCATCTCCCCCCATCTCCCTCCCATCTCCCTCCCATCTCCCTCCCATCTCCCCCCATCTCCCCCCCATCTCCCCCTCATCTCCCCCCATCTCCTCCCATCTCCCCCCATCTCCCCCCATCTCCCCCCCATCTCCCTCCCATCTCCCTCCCATCTCCCCCCCATCTCGCCCCCATCTCCCTCCCATCTCCGTCCCATCTCCCCCCCATCTCCCCCCATCCCCCCATCCCCCCCATCTCCCTCCCATCTCCCCCCCATCTCCCTCCCATCTCCCTCCCATCTCCCCCCCATCTCCCCCCATCCCCCCCATCTCCCTCCCATCTCTCTCCCATCTCCCTCCCATCTCCCCCCCATCTCCCTCACATCTCCCCCATCTCCCCCCCATCACCCACCCTCTCTCCCCCCCATCTCTCCCCCATCTCCCTCCCATCTCCCCCCCATCTCCCTCCCATCTCCCTCCCATCTCTCTCCCATCTCCCTCCCATCTCCCCCCCATCTCCCTCCCATCTCCCCCCATCTCCCCCCATCTCCCTCCCATCTCCCCCCCATCTCCCCCCATCTCCCTCCCATCTCCCCCCCATCTCCACCCCATCTCCCCCTCATCTCCCCCCCATCTCCCTCCCATCTCCCCCCATCTCCCCCCCATCTCCCCCCATCTCCCCCATCTCCCCCCATCTACCCCCTATCTCCCCCCCATCTCCCTCCCATCTCCCCCCATCTCCCCCCATCTCCCCCCATCTGCCCCCCATCTCCCTCCCATCTCCCCCCCATCTCGCCCCCATCTCCCTCCGATCTCCGTTACATCTCCCTCCCATCTCCCCCCCATCCCCCCATCCCCCCCATCTCCCTCCGATCTCCCTCCACATCTCCCCCCATCTCCCCCCCATCTCCCTCCCATCTCCCCCCCATCTCCCTCCCATCTCCCTCCCATCTCCCCCCATCTCCCCCCCATCCCCCCCATCTCCCTCCCATCTCTCTCCCATCTCCCTCCCATCTCCCCCCCATCTCCCCCCATCTCCCTTCCATCTCCCCCCATCTCCCTCCCATCTCCCTCCCATCTCCCCCCCATCTCCCCCCCATCCCCCCATCTCCCTCCCATCTCTCTCCCATCTCCCCCCATCTCTCTCCCATCTCCCCCCATCTCCCTCCCATCTCCCCCCCATCTCCCTCCCATCTCCCCCTCCCATCTCCCCCCCATCTCCCTCCCATCTCCCCCCATCTCCCTCCCATCTCCCTCCCATCTCCCCCCATCTCCCCCCATCCCCCCCATCTCTCTCCCCATCTCCTCTCCCATCTCCCCCCCATCTCCCCCCATCTCCCTCCCATCTCCCCCCATCTCCCCCCCATCTCCTCCCATCTCCCCCCCCTCTCCCCCCATCTCCCCCCCATCTCCCCCCATCTCTCCCATCCCTCCCTCTCCCCCCCATCTCCCCCCATCTCCCCCCATCTCCCCCCATCTCCCCCCATCTCCCCCATCTCCCCCCTCCCCCCATCTCCCTCCATCCCCCCTCTCCCCCCATCTCCCTCCCATCTCCCCCCACATCTCCCTCCCATCTCCCCCATCTCCCCTCCATCTCCCCCCATCTCCCTCCCATCTCCCCCATCTCCCCCATCTCCCTCCTATCTCCCTCCCATCTCCCCCCCATCTCCCCCCATCTCCCTCCCATCTCCCCCCCCCTCCCTCCCATCTCCCTCCCATCTCCCCCCATCTCCCTCCCATCTCCCCCCATCTCCCTCCCATCTCCCCCATCTCCCCCCATCTCCCTCCCATCTCTCTCCCATCTCCCCCCATCTCCCCCCATCTCTCCCATCTCCCCCCAATCTCCCTCCCATCTCCCCCCATCTCCCCCATCTCTCCCCGATCTCCCCCCATCTCCCCCATCTCCCCCATCTCCCCATCTCCCCCCATCTCCTCCCATCTCCCCCCCAATCTCCCCCATCTCCTCCCATCTCCCCCATCTCCACCCCATCTCCCCCCATCTCTCCCCCATCTCCCCCATCTCCCCCCATCTC